AGCGGGTCCCACCCGGGACCACGCAAGGTGGACCCGGCCCACCGGCTCCCTCTCTCCTCTCCGCCCCCGCGCGCGCTTTGGGCCGCCTTCACGGGCCGGCCGGCCCGTCAAGTTCGACCGAGCCGCCTGCGAAGTCTAATTTCCCTCCCTCTTTCTTTTCTTTTCCTTTTTTTTTCAAAAAGGATTTAAATAAATCCTTTTCCTTTAGACAAAAAATCCAATAATCTTAGAAATTCAATATCTTCCCAACCGTAAGCCCGTTTGACTCCGTTCAACTTCCAAAATTCCTTAAATCTCGAGATCTATCTAATGGCACGCCTAGAGGTCAATAGTAGGGCTTTATTTTCGCCGTTTGTTGTGTTGTCCCATTTCTCGTGTAGTTTCGGAGCCCGAAGACCCGCAGTGCGAGGATTTTGAGGATCAAGCTCAAGATCTCGAGCAAGGCAAGTCACCTTTGATCATCTTGCACCTATAATTTAAATCTAAGTATTTCTTTTCCGCAAATAATGCATGAATAGGATTTACACAAGTAATTCGGCCGTGGCTTGCGAGATAACCTGCCGGCCCCCCAATCCTAATTGCTGCAATTACCCTCCTTGAATTATTGAACACTTAAACCCCCTTTGTCGACTGTTGTGCTTCGATGCACGGGCCTTCAAGCACGCGCATCGGGACACCTCTCCTCAAATTTAAAAATATCCAATGATGGGTAAAACTTGGGTTTTACAAAAGACTTGGAAAAACCCGACACCTGGGTCGGCTCTTGCGAACTAAATGAATTTTCAAATTCGCGGACCGGGGAACGTACCGGGAGTACGGTTTCCCGCTCTTGCACTTAAGGACCGTTTCCTTGGAATTACATCCGAACATAAGACAAGTGCGACCACATGGGTGAAATGGGACACCCCTAGCTGAGTAAATTGCTAATCGGGGGAGCCTTGATGCCAAGAGACATGTGGATTCAACGGGGTGGTGTCGGGGAGAACCCCCGGGCTTCCTGGCACAGTATGGTCTGGGACCTAATCTGGTGTTAGTCTGGGACCCCTCTCGTTGGCATACGGTGAACCTGTGTCGGCTTTCGAAATGCCTTGTCGTGAAAGCCCCAAAGTCACCAGACGTGGCTGTTATGCACGGGCTGGGTGACCAAGGCTAGTAACGTCGTGTGGGTAAGGTGTACCCCCTCTGCAGAGGTTAACAAACTGTTCGAACAGCCGTGCTCACAGTCATGGGCGGATGTGAGGTGATTCCTAGCGTAGTTTTGTTTGACTACTGCTTGTGAAATTACTGCTGTGGAATGGGTTCGATGTTTGGAAAATCGGCGGCTGATGGGATCAGCCAGGCCCGGGTGGCCGTTTGAAAGCTGTTGGCCGGGTGCTAACCTTGATCAATTCAAAGACTGATACATTGCACATACTCCGACCGGACGAGACGCACTGTCTCATCCGTGTCATTTGAGAAGCACTCACCTAGTCGTTTCAAAAAAGAGTTTAAATAAAATCAATTGCAAAAACAATAGCCTTTCCTTTGAAGCCTGCATTAAACACTTAATTCCCATGGCTAGCTGAGTACTCATGTACTCACCCTTGCTCTATATAAATAACCCCCCCCAGTTGCTGAAGAAGATGATGTGGCCCCCGCTGACGAGGAGTTCTTCTAGGAGCAAGTCGGCTACGATGAGTTTTAGGGTTTCGACCTAGTTCCCAAGTCGCGCCTGTGATGTTTGGCCCAAGTCTTGGTTTCCGCTTTCCCTTTTGTAATGCAGTTGTGAGCTCGGGATCTGTCCGCAGCCCAACATGACTGTACTCCTATTCTATAATAAAGAGACCTCTGTTGCTGTGATATACTGTCTTCCTGTGATACCAGCACTGTTTCCTGGGACTGGTATCGATTAACAGGTTAATTTGGAGCGTCACGGGCTAGTTTCGTTCGGGGCTAGTTCGGGGCGTGACAGCAGTGGCGAGCGGCCGACGGCTCGGGAGCGAGCTCTCCGGCCTCGGGCCGGGGAATGGGAAGAAGAGGGATGGCCGGAGTCCTCATCTCGCGTCCACGCACGCACCGGCCTCCGACGCGTGCGACGGCGAAGAGACGAAGGCAAGAGGTGGGAGCGGCGGCAAGGCGTCAACAATGGCGCGGTGGGTGTGAGGCGAGCGAAAACGAGAGAGGAAGGGGTTTAGGGACGGCTTGGGTTTTATAGTGGAGGCGATGTCGGTTTGGGGAGGGAGGGAAACCGACCTTGGTGGCGGTCAAGGAGAGCGAGCTGGCGGTGAGCTAGTGCAGTCGCATGACCAGCGTCCGCGCTTTGGCCACGAGCGGCTGGGACCATGGATGACATCGGCGGTGGTCAGGAAAAAGGGGAAAGGAAGAGGGAAAGGAGGGCTTGACCCTTGCCGAAACGGGAAAAGGAGGAGGGAGAGGGCGAGCGAGACAGGGGCTGCCTCTCTCGGCCTTGGAAGCTAGCGGCGTGGAGCGGCGGAGCGGTAGCGCGGCAGGGCACGACGCATGCGGCGCCGGGGTTTGACGCAGCGGCGACCGGGGCGTTGGCCACGCGCGAACCTGCGCGGGAAGGGCGAAGGCGGTGGGAGCGGCGTCCTTGCCGGTCGGCCATGCGCGAGCGCGCGGGAAACGGCGACGCGGCCAGAATTTTGGGGTGGCGTCGGCGGGAAGCGACGTCGAGAGAGAGAGAGAAAGGAGTCGGCGCTGTCTCTCACTCCCGAACACGTGCGACGCACGTGCGTGAGAGCTGGGCCGAGAGGAGGGGATGGGCCGGGAGAGAGAGGAATCCGCCCATCGACAAGGGAGGCATAGACTTTTGCTGAAAGATTTTGATTTGGAGAGATTTGGAGTTTGGGTTTTGAATCTAAATTTGATACTTTGTACACAAGGGTTCAAGGAGTCAAGGAAGGAAACAAAACAGGAGTTTGGATATTTTGGGATTCGGAAATGTATTTGACGAGGATTCAAAGGAAGGGATTGACTTTCGGAATTAGATTTCGGAGACTTGAATTGGAAGAGGAAATTTGAGGCAGAGGATTTTGATTTCGATGAGAGGGAACAACGGGATTGAATTGAGATCCATGGCACGACTTAGACTCTCACTCAAAAAACGAAAATTTTCGCAATTAGGATTTTGCCGAATTAGTTTTTAATGTCTCACGAAAAGCGGAGCGTTACACTACCCTATCAAGAAAACCCCAAAAGAAACAACACCAGTTAACGACCATAGACTCTAGAACCACTAGTACCGAAGAGAGAGTAAACATGGAGTTTCGTTCCTTCCACAATTGCCAACATACCAGAACTAAAATATTTGTCTTAAAAATATAGAGACCATAAGTGTAAATTAGACTTCAAATGTACATCAATAAAATCATATATTTGTTGATATTTTTATGTATATTATATAGAAAAAAATGGTCAGGATTATTTTTTGAGATCATGTTCTTGTCAAAGACGATAAGTACTATCAACCTTGAAAGTGTATTAATCGATGGTTTAATACTTGTTGCCTGTTCCAAAATATAACTATTTCTATGCGTTTTTTTTTTAAAAAAACTAGACGTCCTCCTTCAGATATATTTTAGGAAACACACGGAAGTGCTTATATTTGGAGCAAATGTGGTATAAATTGATTATGCAAAAAAATGATAAACATTGTGCTATATTACTCAAATAATTATGATTGCAATGGCGGGTGCAGATGTGAATCGGATACCCATAATGAACAAAATGGTTAGTTATGTACTCAACGAAGCAAGGTATAACATACCAACCGGTATTTCCGAGTATGTGCAGAATTTGTGCTCACAGCGTATGCCGTTTAATTACTAGTTGCACTAGAACTCATCAGAACAAGAAATTCATAAAGAATGTTGTATTTTACTATATTGATCATACGGTTCTTGTTGGTTGACCTCGAGCACTGAACAAGATGATGCAAATTATTTGACTATTTCAATGTCTCGCCAGTAGTTGGAACTTTTTTTTAGATAATGAGTAGTTGGAACTTGGAAGAGGAAAAAGAAGCTGCGGTTGTAAAAGGGTTCAAGGGAGTTGAGCCTGTAGTTAATTAGACAGCACTGAAAGAACAATTAATTAAGAAATGAAATATTCCTACTTTCTTTCCATTCCATCTACTTGCTTATCCAATTAAGAACTTAAAATATCCGGTACTAATAAAAAAATCAAGAAAAGAATTTAGGTAGCCAGTAAATGAGCGGATGCATCTTTTTGGCGTGAAATATTTCTGATTGAGGATTTCATTTCCGATCTGTAGAAAATGGAAATACTATCTCCTTTTTTAAATGTATCATGTCATTGACTTTTTTATAATATTTGACTATTCGTCTTATTCAAAAAAATTTAATATAAATATGTAAAATTTTAAGTTAAGATTAAATTTATTTGATGATAAAATAAGTTACCACAAAATAACTAATTTTAGTATAATATTTTAATAAGACGTACGATCAAACGTTATATGAAAAGTTAACGGCGCTATGTATTATAAAATAAGGGTGTATTATAGTTTGTTACCTCAGCCAGCGGAAACAGTGTGAACATGACATGTAATTAGAAAGACTCTATGGCTAACATTCAATTCAGCTATAGCTTGCGTGATGGCTAGCAGAAACGACATTCGCGTGCGTAAATGATCAAGAGCATTTCTGCTGTTCGGAACATTTCTGTTATTCCCCGCGGACAAGTCACAACTACTTCTGTTCAGTTTTAACTACTCGATTGGAAACTTCAGTTTCAAGGTACGACTTACAGTTTCTGACGACAGTAGAGCTTAGACCAGCAAACCAATCATGCATCATTACGCGTTAGTCAATCTCTCGGCGTTTGCAGAGCCATGTGCATGCGATCGTTGGAACAGTGTTCGCATGCTTCAATAATGCATAACGACAATCATTCCCTAGCTTAATTAATTGGTATGCAATCCATGCCTCTCTGCAGAGTTCAGACCTCCTAGATCTTATTACTACTATTTAAGCACCACCAATGCCGCACACATCCCTCACCTCCAAATCCATTCTTCCCAACAATATCTAGCTGCACCTGCGCAGGAGACCTAGCTATAGCTACAGGAAATCATGGGGAACATTGTCCTGCAGCTGCTCGCGATTCTTGCACTCTGCATTGCACCGGCGAGGTCCGGCTGGCTCCAGGGCACCGCCACGTTCTACGGCGGCGCCGACGGCTCCGGCACCATGGGTACGTCGTCGTCGTCTACTCCATTTCCTCTCGCATCGCATTGTGTCAACCATTGCACGGCAATGCATCATCATGCATAATGCAAGACACAATCTGATGGAATATATATGTTGGAACAAGTGCATATGGGATGGTCTCGATGGGATTAACCGCTGATGTGCATATGTGTGCAAACAGGTGGTGCGTGCGGGTACGGGAATCTGTACGACCAGGGCTACGGCATCAACAACGCGGCGCTGAGCACGCCACTGTTCAACAACGGGGCGTCGTGCGGGCAATGCTACCTCATCATCTGCAACTACGACAAGGCGCCCAGCGGGTGCAGGATGGGCACGGCGATCACCGTGACGGGCACCAACTTCTGCCCGCCCAACTATGACCTCCCCTACGGCGGCTGGTGCAACACGACCCGCCCTCACTTCGACATGTCCCAGCCCGCCTGGGAGAACATTGGCATCTACAGCGCTGGCATCGTCCCGATTCTCTACCAACAGTAAGAATAATACTATCAGTAGAGACCACCGTAAAAGCACTCTAAAACGAAGAAGTTGTGTGTGTGTGTGTGTGTGTGTATATATATATATATATATATATATATATATATATATATATATATATATGCATGATATCATGAAATAGTTAACACGTTGTGGTGTGATGGATTATATTGAAGGGTGAAGTGCTGGAGAAGTGGGGGAGTGAGATTCACCATCACCGGGTTGAACTACTTCGAGCTGGTGTTGGTGACGAACATGGCCGGGAGCGGGTCGATCGCGAGCATGTCGGTGAAGGGCTCAAGCACGGGGTGGATTCAGATGTCGAGGAATTGGGGCGCCAATTGGCAGTGTCTCGCCGGACTGGCTGGTCAGGCGCTCAGTTTCACCGTCACCTCCACCGGCGGCCAGACCATCGTCTTCGACAGCGTCGTGCCGGCGGGGTGGTCGTTCGGGCAAACCTTCAGCACCTACCAGCAGTTCGACTACTAAGCTATATATGTTCAGACATCAGGAACATCAAGATCGTCGTCTGAAATGTGAATGTCTGATCGATCGAGCATTCATACTTCGTTTTCATTTGTAATTAAGCTAGAGCGCTCTAAGATCGAGCATTGTTTATTGGGATCATTAATTCATTTGATTGTTCAGTTGCTAATTGATGGATGTAAATTAAGTTGCAATATATCCAAGGCAATCATTATTAAATGATATGAAATTGCTACTGAAGATTGCATTCCACGAGTATTCCCGTATATCATGAAATGTGTACGTGCTAGCTAGTAGTAGTTTCTTCATCATGGATACTATACAAATATATCTCTTTGTACTATGCATTGTTGATGCGTCTTAATATACATTTAATTAATGTACTCTCTTTCATCTAGACACCACCCTTTGACTGTTGGAATTATATGGGCAAGCCCATGTAGTTAGACAATAATTTCTGAAAAAAAATCTCAAAGGCCCAAAAAAATGCACGTAAAATTTAGTACCATCTTACTGATTCTAGAAGTATGAGATCGCTTTAAAAGCGTGGTGCTCTCTATATGCTACTCTCTCTCCGTCGCCATGGTTTTCCGCGTCCAACTTTAACCGTTTGTCTTATTTGAAAAATTTTGAAAAAAATTAAAAATATAAGTCACAAGTAAAGTATTATTTATGTTTTATCATCTCATAGCAATAAAAATACTAATTATAAACAAATTTTAAATAAGACGGACGATTAAAATTAGGCGCGGAAACTTATGGTTGCCCTTAAAATGAGACGGAGGGAGTACTAGAGCAATATGCATGGAAGAAAACTAAATCCGGACCTGTTACGCTACCTTACTGTTTGTGTGTGTGTGTCTGATTGAGCTGCAAATTTTCATCTGTTTGTGTGTGTGTTTTCTTTTCTTTTCAAAAAAAAAATGTTTGTGTGTGCGTCTGATTGAGCTGCAAATTTTCATCCTTTGGGCTTGCTCACGCAACTACGCATGTAGGCCTTCGGGCTTCGGTGGTTCAACCCAAAACCAAATTTCCATCCTTGGGCTTGCTCACCCAACTACGCATGTAGGCCTTCGGTGGTTCAACCCAAACCCGTGTGACACTCAAACAAGCCAATTAAACCATTTCATTTTCAAGAAATCTCTTCGGCCTTTCTTTGACAACTTGTTTTTGCGAACATTTCTTTGACAACTTGCATAACATGTGTGATCTGTGTGTGTTTTCCGGTGCCTCGTTTCAGTGTTTTCGCGGATGCGACCCTCTACCGGCTGGTCTCCAGTTTCACTTCCTATCAATTCCAAGCTTTATATGGTTAAACCGGTAATTCCAGCTGCTACAATTTTAATAAGTTGAATTACTAAACCACATTCGACATTCGATAGGAAAAAAAGGAGGTAAAATCTTACAAACTTCTAACCTTCATATCTGCTTCGCCATCCGTGCTCCAGTTAGCCAACTCTAACGACCTTGTTGAACTCTAGCGGACAACAACGACGATCCTAACTGTTTAGGATCCGGATTGGGGTTGGGGTGATAGGGGTGGGAAGAGGGGGAAGAGGGGGAGTCCGCCAGCTTTACAGAGATGGCCGTGATCGGCGGAAGACTGGTAGTAGGTGGTGGAATTGGGCGGGCAACAAAGTAGCGCCCCCGAAACCGTGGGGATGAAGGAGGGCGGTGGGCTGGCATTGGCTGCGGGGCCAAAACAAAGCGACTAGTTAAGAGGTAGTGGGCTAGTGGCTAATGGTGGTGGATCCAGTGGTAGGGAGTCGATAGAAACAAGGAAGATCACCTTGTTGTCACCGACTTCAGGAGGAGTGGACAGAGAGGGGGGAGGGGGGGCGAAGCCAGTCGGAGGGCCAAGGGAGAGGGGGGCTCGCTGGTGCCGTTCACGCCTCCTGCCCTAGCCGGCGAGGTCGGGCGGTGGCACACTGGCATGGGGTGGTGGCGTCGGGGGAGCTCGCCTCGCTCTCGTGCTGCATGCGGCTGGGCGAGGGCGCGGGGGGGGGGGGAGAGGGGAGGAAAATGACAAGATAATTGTTGCGTACAAATCTTAAAGTATATCTAACGGTCCAAAATTTAAAAGATATAAGCTGGATTTCATGTCACAAAATATATAGACTTTGATAGATCCTCTCTTAGATATATCAGGTCTCTTACAATAATTCGTTGGGCCTAACTAAGCCATTTTGTCTAAAAAAACCTGCAAAAATTAAATCAAACCAAGGCATGTCAAAGTCGATAATGCTTGAAGTTAATCATTCTGTTCCAGGAATATGTGCTCAACTTCCATACGAAATGGAACTTAAATATATACAGGGTGAATTGCTGTTCTGAACATGTCTGAAAAAAAACTTGCACTATAATCGGTTTGCCGTTGCATGATTATCGTTAGAGCAGCTGCTTCAGTTGAAACTTGATACTAAACGACTTACATGGTGGTGTACTATATTAATTAATCTATTACTATAATCTATCGATCGGGCAAACAATGAGTATTACTCAATTAATTATGACTGCAATAGAGCAATGGCGGATACAGATGTGAATTGAATATGCCCCCTGAATGAACAGAACGGTTAGTTATGTGTTCAAAGAAGCAAGGTATAAAATTATTGCTATTGTACGTGCAATGAAGAGTGCAGACCTTGCGCTCCCACTAATCGTAGTGGAATTCATCAGCAAAATAAATAAATCATATAGAAATAGAGTTTTTTTACTATTTTCATCATACGATTCTTGTTGGTTGACCTCAAGCACTGAACAAGATAATGCAAATTATTTGGCTATTTCAATGTCTGGCTCGCCAGTAGTTGGAACTTGGGAGAGAAAAAAATAAGCAGCGGCTGCAAAGGGTTCAAGGGAGTTGAGCCTGTTGTAGTTAGGTGGTACTGAAAGGATAATTGATTCAGAAAAGTGAAATACTCCAACGTCCTTTCCATTCCAACTTCTCGCTTGTCCAATTAAGAACTTTGAAAAATTCCGTACTAATTAAGAATTTCACGGAACGAATTTAGGTAGCCAATAAATGAGCAGATGCATATTTTTTTATTACAAATTAAAACTGATTGAGAATTTCTCGTTGAGAAATCTGTGTGTGAAATATTTCTGATTTAGAATTTCATCTCTGGCTGGTAAAACTGATATATTACAGTTTGGCACATCAGGAAGTATATTTAATTTTTTTTAAGATGATGGATAGAAATCCGATCCTATATTCACACACATACTTAAAGATTACATGGGTACTTAAGGCACATTCTAAAGAGATAATTGAGCTTAACTACTACTCGTTTTCTATTAGCATGTTTTTTAAACTATTAAACGATGTATTTCGTGCAAAACTTTCTATATTAAAAATACTACCTTTTCAAAATAAAATAATTTGATTTATATTTTTTAATAATTAATACTTAATTAATTATATGCTAATAAAGTTTTTATTTTGCGTGTCGCTAAATAAGACAAAACGTTAAGCTGGAAAGAACGTGTCCTAACACTCCAAATCCCATAACTGACACAAAAGAGGAAAAACAACAATAAGAAAGATAAATTTTACAGTTCCTAAGATGTACTGTATCAAAACTTTTAATGCAAACTTAGCTCCTCTCGGTACCTACTTAACTACTATAAAATCACTAAAAGAAAAGGTAAACACGATATGTAGTTAGAAAGATTGTATGGCTAACATTCAGTTTAGCTATGCATGCTTGACTAGCATAGAAACATTCGCAAGCATGCATGTTCAGAGCATTTCTGTTCTTGCTGCGAAAACGCAACGACTTGTGTTCAGATTGAACTGAATAATGCTAATATACGACTTATCATTTCTGATGGAGGAAACGGTACGTAGAGCTTAGACCAGCAAACCAATTAATCATCATTTCGCATAAGTCAATTTCTGGACGTTGCAGAGCCATCAGCCATGTGCAACGATCGTTGGAACAGTGATCGCATTTTTCAATAATGCCTACGACAATCATTCCCTTGCAATATGTAATCCACGCCTCTGCATGCAGGCCTCCTAGATCATAGTACTATATAAGCACCACCATTGCCGCATACATCCCTCACCTCCAAATCCATTCATCACAACAATATCTAGCTAGCTAGTTATCTAGCTTAATTACTCTCGATCGACTGCACAGGCTCAACCTAGCTAAGAGGAAATGGGGAACATTTTCCTGCAGCTGCTCGCCGTTGTTGCACTCTGCATTGCACCGGCGAGGTCGGACTGGCTCCCGGGCACCGCCACGTTCTACGGCGGCGCCGACGGCTCCGGCACCATGGGTACGTATACGTCGTCTACTCCACATACGGCCCAAATGTCCGACTCACGTACGACTGAATTTGATTTATTTGATTGCCATGGATTAACCGGATGCATGTGCGTATGTGTGCATACAGGTGGTGCGTGCGGGTACGGGAACCTGTACGACCAGGGGTACGGCATCAACAACGCAGCGCTGAGCACGCCGCTGTTCAACGACGGCGCGTCGTGCGGGCAGTGCTACCTCATCATCTGCGACTACAGCAAGGCGCCCGACTGGTGCAAGCTCGGCAAGGCGATCACCGTGACGGGCACCAACTACTGTCCGCCCAACTATGACCTCCCATACGGCGGCTGGTGCAACGCTACCCGCCCTCACTTCGACATGTCCCAACCTGCCTGGGAGAACATTGGCATCTACAACGCCGGCATCATCCCCATCCTCTACCAACAGTAATAAGCACATTTACCGACCTGACATCTCCTGAATTTGTATGTGTGAATTCTGAAGCGAAGCAGTACGTGTGTTGTGCTAAACCGTTATGCTATGAATTGCAGGGTGAAGTGCTGGAGGTACGGGGGCGTGAGGTTCACCATCAACGGGTTCAACTACTTCGAGCTGGTGCTGGTGACCAACATGGCCGGGAGCGGGTCGATCGCGAGCATGTCGGTGAAGGGGTCATGCACGGGGTGGATCCAGATGACGAGGAATTGGGGCGCCAATTGGCAGTGTCTCGCTGGACTGGCCGGACAGGCGCTCAGCTTCAATGTCACCTCCACCGGCGGCCAGACCATCGTCTTCGACGATGCCGTGCCGGCGGGGTGGTCGTTCGGCCAAACATTCAGCACCTACCACCAATTCGACTACTAAGCAGGGTTCAGACGTCGACAACATCGAGATCGTCATCTGAAATCTGAATGTCTACGATCGATCATTCTTGTTTGGGATCATTTATTCGATTGTTCAGTTGGGATCATTCATTGATTTCTAACTGATGGATGTAATTTGAGTTGCAATTCAAGGAAATCATTATTAAATTATGTGAAATTGCTACTGAAAATCACATTTCATCGGTCTGTATGCATCATAAAATGTGTATGTGCTAGTGGTTTCTTCGGCCCCGTTTGGCACAGCTCTAGCTCCCAACTCCAACTTACCTAGAGTTAGAGCTGTGCCAAACGGTACAGATCCTCCATTTTTTGAGTGGAGCTAGTTGAGCTACTCATAGAAAATGAACTACGGGGGTTAGGGGTGGACAGAAAAAGACCGAACCGAAAAGACCGAAACCGAAAAATTCGGTCCTAGGTAGTGAAAGACCGAATTTTGTTCGGTCAATTTGGTTAGTCTCCTCGGTTAACCGAATAGACCGAAATATCAAAAAATTCTAAATGCAACCTACAATCCACTATATTTAATAGGATTAAACTCTAATTTTCACATCCCTACTTCTTCTAGGCATGCAACCTAATAAAAGTCTTTACTCATAAGTGCTTAACGAATTTTTTTGTGATTTTTGTGTTGAAAATTTCCATTTTTTCTTTGCATATATGAAAATATTGTTGAATTTCGGTCAGGAGCGAGACCGAGACCGAATTTATCGGTCCTGACTTTTTGCGCTGAAATTCGGTTTTCATTTTTCAAAGACCGAAAAGAACGAAAGACCGAAGACCAAGACCGAAATTTTCGGTTAGACCGAATGCCCACCCCTAACGGGGATGGAGCTGGATTTTTGCTGCTCCACAGCTCCACTCTACCCCAAAAGACCCACTACCCTTTAATTTTTTAGTCTATTTATACAAAAATGCCACTCAACTGCTCTTTCAGTCCTCCTCTCCTCCCCCATCTTCCTCCCGATCCAAACCGAGCTGCATGCGGGGAGCGGTGGCGTCGGTGGGTAGCGGCGACAGGCCGAAGGCGCGCGGAAGACGACATGCGGCCGGCGGCGGCCGGCGCGCCTGGGGACGGCGCACGGCCGGCGGGCCGGCGGCGGATGCGGAGGAGGATGACAGAGCGGCGGTCTTCTTCAACCCAGGCATGGGCTCTGGGCGCAAGGGTGGCCGGTTGTTTGTGCCTGGGTGTCACGCCCCGAACTAGTCCCGACCGGAACTAGCCCGTGACGCTCCAAATTAACCTGTTAATCGATACCAGTCCCAGGAAACAGTGTTGGTATCACAGGGAGACAGAATATCACAGCAACAGAGGTCTCTTTATTATAGAGTAGGAGTACAGTCATGTTGGGCTGCGGACAGATCCCGAGCTCACAACTGCATTACAAAAGGGAAACGGAAGCCAGGACTTGGACCAATCAACACAGGCGCGACTTGGGAACTAGGCCGAAACCCTAAAACTCATCGTAGCCGGCTTGCTCCTGGAAGAACTCCTCATCAGCAGGATCCGCTTCATCTTCTTCAGCAACTGGGGGGGAATTATTTATATAGAGCAAGGGTGAGTACGGGGGTACTCAGCAAGCCAGGGGAAATAAGTGTTTAATGCAGGCTTCAAGGAGAGGCTGTTGTTTTTGCAATTGATTTTATTTGAACTCCTTTTTTCTAAAAACGACTAAGTGAGTGCTTCTCAAACGACACGGATGAGACAGTGCGTCTCGTCCGGTCGGAGTATGTGCAATGTATCAATCTTTAGATCTTGAAACAAGGTTGGCTCCCGGCCAACAGCTTTTCAAACGGCCACCCGGGCCAACAACTTTTCAAACGGCCACCCGGGCCAACAACATTTCAAACGGCCACCCGGGCCTAGCTGATCCCGTCAGCTGCTGATTTTTCAAACATCGAACCCATTTTCTCAACAGCAATTTCACAAGCGGTAGTCAAACAAAACTACGCTAGGAATCACCTCACATCCGCCCATGACCGTGGGCATGGCTGTTCGAATAGTTTGTTAACCTCTGCAGAGGGGGTACACTTTACCCACACGACATTACTAACCCGGATCACCCAGCCCGTGGGGATCAGCCACGTCGGGAGACCTCCAAGCTTTCATGACAAGGCATTTCGAAAGCCGATACAGGTTTACCATATGCCGACGAGAGGGGTCCCAGACCAACAACAGGTTAGGTCCCAGACCATACTGTGCCAGGAAGCCCAGGGGTCCTCCCCGACACCACCCCGGCGAATCCACATGTCTCTCGGCATCAAGGCTCCCCTGATAAGCTAGTTACTCAGCCAAGGGTGTCCCATTCCACCCATGTGGTCGTACTTGTCTTATGTTTGGATGAAATTCCAAGGAAACGGTCCTTAAGTGCAAGAGCGGGAAACCGTACACCTGGTACGTTCCCCGGTCCGCGGTTTTGGAAATTCATTTAGTTCACAAGCACCGACCCAGGTGTCGGGTTTTCCAAGTCTTTTGTAAAACTCCCGTTTTACCCAAATTGTTACTCAGATTTTAAGTTTGAAGGCGACCGTCGATACTCGCACAGAGTGCACGAATATCGAGGCGCAACTGGGTGGTTACAAGGGGACATGGTATGGCAATTAACAATCGAAGGATCAAATGCAACAAGTCAGGTAGGTCCACCAATCTGCCTTGCAGATGGGACAAAAGATTAAGTGCGGTCCTATCAATACATAATATTTTTCAAGCAATATAATTAAATTTCAATTATAGGCTCAAGATGTTCAAAGGTGGCTTGCCTTGCTCGAGATCTGGAGCTTGATCCTCGAAATCCTCGCACTGCGGGTCTTCGGGCTCTGAAACTACACGCGAAACGGAACAACTCAACAAACGGCGAAAAAATAAAGCCCTATTAATGACCTCTAAGCGTGCCATTAGATAGATCTCGAGATTTGAGGAATTTTGGAAGTTGAACGGAGTCAAACGGATTTACGGTTGGGAAGATATTGAATTTCTAAGATTATTGGATTTTTGGTCTAAAGGAAAAAGGATTTAATTAAATCCTTTTTGGAAAAGAAAAAGAAAAGAAGGGAGAGGGGGGAATATAGACTTTTCTCGGGCGGCTAGGGTGCGGCCCAAGAGATTTGGGGCGGCTCGGCCGAGCTTAACGGGCCGGCCGGCCCAAGACGGCCCAAGCGCGCGCGCGCGGGAGGGAGGAGAGAGAGTCCGGTGGACCGGGCTCACCACGCGTGGCCCCGGGTGGGACCCGCTTGTCAGCGGCTCGGCTCACCGTGCGGAGGGAGCACGCGGCGCACGCGCGCGGGCGGGGAGGAACGCGGTGCACGCGCGCGGTCCGCGGCGGACGCAGGTGCGGCGGGCCCACGCGCAGCCTCACGGCTTGCGGTGGAATGCGCGCACGCGGAGGGACCGACCGGGGTCGGCCCGACCCGGTCTGGGCTGAGCTGGCGCCGACGTGGCGCCTACGTGGCCGCCACGCGGACCGGCGGGAGGTAGACGACGATCCGGCCGCGAATGGACGGCGGGCGGCGGCGGCGAGCGGCGGAGCGAACCACGGTGATACGGGCAAAAGCGAGCACACCGGGCGGTTACACGAGACGAGGGGAGACGAACCAACGGCTCGGATTTGCCGGGGGTTGCTCGACGGCGGCGGATTGCGGCGTCGGCAACCGGCGGCGGGAGAAGAGGGAAACGGCGACGAGGCCACGAGAGGTCGATTCCCGGCGGTGAGAGCATCTATGCGGCTTCGGGAACTCGACGCTAGCGTCGGATTGGGCGGAACTACGCCGAGCGAGGCCGGCGACGAGCGGGTGCTACGGAGCTCGGGCGGCGACGGCGGCGAGCACACGGCGAGCGACGGCAACGGTCGGGGCGGCGCCGGCTAACTACGGGAAGGCTACTCAAGCTACTACCGAAAGCTAGGGGAAGGAGATGGAGCGAGGAGGAAGAACGGAGAGAGACATCACCGAGAAGAGGAGGGGCGCTGTGATGAGAGGCCGACGGCGCGGGAGTAATCTCTCCGGCCTCGGGCCGGGGAAGAGGAAGGAGAGGGTGCGGCCGGAGTCCTCTTCCGCGTCCTTGCTCGTGCCGGCTCCTCCGACACGCGCAACGACGATCGGCGACGGCGAAACAGAGGGCGGCAATGGCGCGGAGGCGAAAAATGAGGGAGTTTGGAGGGGGAGGGCTTGGGCTTAAATGGACGGCAATGTCGGTTTGGGAGAGGGGAACCGGCATTGAACGGTCAAGGCGCGAGCTGGCGCTCGGCGCTTGCAGCCAAAGCGGCGGCAGGAGGATGACGCCGGCGAGGAGAAAGAAAAGGGGAAAAAAGAGGGGGAGAAAGGGGCTTGCCCCTTTGCCGATTCGGGAAAAAGGGGGGGAGCGGGAGCATCGCGGCAGAGGGAGGAGGGGCGCGGCTCCGTCCCTTGGCGGCTTGCGCGCGGAGTGGCGGGGGCCGGGCGATGACGACGGTGATGACGGGGGGGACGGCTTGGAGCGGAGCGGCGACACCGGCGACAGGCGCGCGCAGAGGCTGACGGTGGCGGCGACCGGGCGGTCGACCACTCGGCTCGCGCGCGCGGCTTGCAACGGGCGGCGTCCGCGCGGGCGCGCGCACGCGAACACGGCGCGCGGGAAGCGGCTTTGCGAGCAGGGAGCTCGCGCGAGGGGAGGGGGCGCCCGGCGCGGGCGACTCCCGCGCACGCGCGAGCAGCGTGCGGGCGAGGCTGAGCGGGGGGGGGGAAAGAGCGCGCCGGGGGGGGAGAGAGAGAGAGAGAGAGAGGGGGGCCGGGGGAGAGATGGGCCGAGCTGGATTCGGCCCATCGAACCCGGGGGAGGCAAACTAGACTTTTGCGGAGGAAATTGATTTGGAGGGATTTGGATTCGGAATTGAACTCGACGATAGATCGGGGATTGAGATCTTGAGATGGCACGGACACTAGACAACAAGCAAAGAAACAAATTTCGCAATTAGGGTTTTTAAGAGATAATTTTCCCGCTAGGCGCCACGACGGAACGGGCGCTACACTGGGATGACAAGCTGCGACCGCTCCGGCGCCTTGTGCTGTGGCGGCGACGGCCGGCAGCCGGCGGCGTGCCTGGGGCCGCCGGCTAGGTCTCTTTTTTTCATTTTTTTTCATTTTTTTTCCAGATCTAGAGCTGAAAGGTAGCAAAAAACTTTTCAACTTTTCAACGAGTCTTCAACTCTAACAGGAGCTAGCTCTCACTGGAGTTGGAGTTTGGAGCCCTACCAAACGAGGCCTTCATCACGGGCTCCTACACAAATTTAATATGGTGGCCCGATGTAAATATATCTCTTTCGTCTTCGTGGAAACCGTATGGACATATTATGCGTCGTGCAAACTTGGTTTAGCTTGTGAGCGGCATGCAAAACAAGATAAGCTATTAGCACATAGATAATTAAGTATTAATCATTATAAACTTTAAAAATTAACTTAATTGTTTTTTTGAAAAAGAAACATTTATATAAAACATTTAGAAAAAAAAAACACATCATTTAACAGTTTAAAATGTATGCTAATGGAAAACGAGAAAGTTGTAGTTTAGATTTGAAAAAACTAGACCTAATAAGTTGACATTAATGTACTCTCTTTCATCTAGACATTAGCCTTTAAGGCCCCCTTTGATTCAAAGGAAATTCATAGGAATTTTAAAGGATTTCATTCCAATTTTTCCTATATAGCCCTTTGAATCAAAGGAATGAATACTATGGAATTCTATGAAATTCCTATGGAATGCATTTTCCCATGTAAGTTTTGGAGGAAATTTAGCATGAGGTAGAACCTCATGTTAAAAATCCTTTGAGTTTTTATCTCTCCTCAAATTCCTGTGTTTTTCCTATGGCTCAATCAAACGACCATTTCTACGTTTTTCCTGTGTTTTGTAATTCTCTCTTTTACACTTGTATTCCTGTGAGAATCCTATGTTTTTCCTATTCCTTCGTTTTTTTCATTCCTATGATTTAAAGGGGGCTAAGTGTTGGAATTATATGTGCTAAATCCATGTAGTTAGACAATAGTTTCTAAAAGAAAAAAAATCAAGGCCCATCACATGAAAGGATGCACGTGAACTTTAGTATCAGCTTACTAATTCTATGAATATGAGATCACTTTTTTTAAAGTGCGGTGCTCTCTATGTTACTAGAGCAATATGGATGAGAGATAACTTTAAGAAAAGCGCACCTTAACCACTCACTTCACGGAGTTTTGTCATGTTGTCTTAGAGTGGCTAGAAATTCAAACCGGGTATGCTACCTTATTCTTTTCTGCTTAATGGATAGATTGATTAACGATACGTTTGCTAAACTGCTAAACGATACAATGTTTGTCCCTTTTTGCATGTTAACATGTGAGGGAGGATGTTCATATGGACCAGAGGATCCAATTGCCTACGTACATGTCCTTTTATTGGGCAATTGACTATATGTGATTTATGGACTATGAGTCCATGATTAACGACACGTTCGGCTTAACTCTCGGGCCCAGGCATGCTGGTAGGCCTTCGATGGTTCGGCCCAAATCCGTGCGACACTCAAACAAGTTAAGCCATTTCATTTTCAAGAAATCTCTTCGGTCTTTCTGACAGTTTTTTTTTCTTTTGCGAACATTTCTTTGACAATTTGCTAACGTGTGTGATCTGTATGTGTTTTCCAGTGCCTCGTTGCAGTGTTTTCGCGGATGCGGCTCCATGAGATGCTACCGGCTGGTCTCCGATCTCCACTCCTTATCATTTCACTCAGTCAATTTCAAGTTTCTGTACGAAACCTTTATATGGTTAAACTGGTAAATCTAACAGCTACAATTTTCATAAATCTTTTCTTAGATGTATCAGGTACTCTTTTATAATTCGATCGGCCTAACCAAGCTATTCTGTCTAAAGAAACTTGCAAAAATTAAAACAAACCAAAAACATGTCAAACGATATAATGCTTGAGGTTAATCATTCTGTTCCAGGAATATTGTGCTCAACTTCCATACGAAAAGGAACTTAAATATATAAAGGCTGAATTGCTGTTCTGCACATCTGTCTGAAAAAACCTGCACTATAATCGGTTTGCTGTTGCATGATTATCGTTAGAGTAGCTTCTTCAGTTGAAACTTGGTACTAATTAAACGAATTACATATTTGTGTATATTAATTAATTAATTATACTCTATATTAATTATTGATCGGTCAAAAAGTGATTAATAATATTCTATACTACTTAATTAATTATGACTATAATAATGCAATGGTGTACGCATATGTGGATCGAGTGCCCCCGAATGAACAAAACGGTTAGCATGTTTTCAAAGAAGCAAGATATGACACTATTGCTAATGGAATGGTTTTTTAAACTCTTGAAGATGTTTATTGTATGTTATCCAAATAATTATGAAATAATTTGATAAGATATATAATATGTGTTATATCACTTCACAAAAATTAATCTCTATAAGTTTAAAAAATAACAAATTTAACTATAGTAGTTAACGTATATTTATAGTCAAGTTTGTCTTTTAACTTGTAGAAGTTGAATTCTAACTTACATATTTGTGAAGTGATATATTAATCTATCTTGACAAATTTTTTTAAAAAAAATTCGTAGATGGCGTGTGAAGAACAAGGGGACATTCCCTTGAGAGTTTAGAATTGTTTCCCTTATTACTGGTGTCGATCGACAAACCGGTATTTTGTATATGTGCAGAATTAGTTACTCCCTCTGTTACAAAATATAAGCGATCTCCAATATTCAAAATTAGTACTACAATATAAGCATTTCTATGACACTATGACACTGATTCTATTATAAGGAAATTCATAGGTTTTCAACAAGTCAAGTGTTTGGGAGAGGAATATAAGCGATTCAAAATTTAACCATTATGGTGACAGAAAGGGAATATTTTCCCTTAACCTTAGTGTTTGTAAATAATCTATATAAATGCTTATATTTTGTAACGGAGGGAATCCTAATTACGCTGTAACACATCAGAACAAGAAATTCATAAAGATATGCAGTATTCTACTAGTTGATCATACGGTTCTGGTGGTTGACCTAAAGTACTGAACAAGATAATGCAAATTATTTGACTATTTCTTCAATGCGTCGCCAGTGGTTGGAATAGAAAAAGAGAAGAAGTTGTGGCTGCAAAGGGTTTAAGGGAGTTGAGCCTTTAGTTAGACACTTAGACAGTACTGAAAGGACAATTAATTAAGAAGTGAAATACTCCTACTACTCGCTTGTCCAATTAAGAAATTTGAAATATCCCTTACAAATTAAGAATTTCATGGAACGAAATTAGGTGGCCAATAAATGAGCATAGGCATATTTTCGGTGTGGATTATTTCTGATCGATATATAAAATTGACATGTTACAGCTTGGTACGTCAACTAGCAGAGGATATGCTAGTAGCAATAATTTTATTTTTTGAGAGAGAAGCGGAGGATATAATTTCGTTAGCCAAACAGAGTAAAACAAAATGCCCTAGTCGACTGGAAGAATGGTACTCCAGTTCAGCTATAGCAGAAACATTCCCGTGCATGCGTGATCTTCGGAGCATTTCTGTTCTTCCCTTTCACAACGATCGACTTCTGTTCGGTTTTAACTACTCGACTTGAAGAATGCTAACATACGACTTATAGTTTCTGATGCAGCAAACAGTGATCATCACGCGTAAGTCAATCTCTGGACGTTGCAGAGCCATGTGCAAGATTCAATAATGCATATGCGACAATCATTCATTGTTATGCAATCCATATCCATTCCTCTTTGCAGGCCTCCTAGATCACTATATAAGCAGTTAAGCACCACCATTGCCGCAGACATCCTTCACCCCCAAATCCAGTAATCACAACAGTATTTAGCTGCAAGGAATCAAGCTAGCTGTAGCAAACAGAGGAGATCATGGGGAACATTCTCCTGCAGCTGCTCGCCGTTGTTGCACTCTGCATTGCACCGGCGAGGTCGGACTGGCTCCCGGGCACCGCCACGTTCTACGGCGGCGCCGACGGCTCCGGCACCATGGGTACGTCGTCGTCTGCTCCACCCTCTGGAATAGCATTGTCAATTATGATTGACAAATGACAATGTTGCATGCATGCATACGTGTACTTTCTCTATTCTAAAATAAATCAAACTAAGGCGAACCTTACTCCCCAGCACGCAAAATAAAGTAGCGTTTAGCACATCATTAATTAAGTATTAGCTAAAATAAATTTAAAAATAGATTAATATGACTTTTGAAAGTAACTTTCGTATACAAAATTTTTGCAAAATCTATACCGTTTAGTAGCTTGAAAAACGTGCGAGCGGAAAACGAGAGAGGTGAGTTAGGAAAGTAGAGATAAGAACTCAGCCCTAATGTGGGATGTAACATCTAAGCTCCTAGTACTAAGGGTGTGTTTAGTTCACGCCAAAATTGAAAGTTTGGTTAAAATTGGAATGATGTGATGGAAAAGTTGGAAGTTTACGTGTGTAGGAAAGTTTTGATGTGATGGAAAAGTTGGAAGTTTGAAGAGAAAATTTGAAACTAAACACGACGTAAGATATTATTCAAATTTGTAGTATTAAGATATGTAACATTTTATAATAATAATAGATTGATTTATTTTGAAACGAAGGAAGTACGTCATATGCAACCTGAACTTGTGACAGAATATTTGGGTGCATCTGTACTTGCAGGTGGCGCGTGCGGGTACGGCAACCTGTACGACCAGCGCTACGGCATCAACAACGCAGCGCTGAGCACGCCGCTGTTCAACGACGGCGCGTCGTGCGGGCAGTGCTACCTCATCATCTGCGACTACGGCAAGGCGCCCGACTGGTGCAAGCTCGGCAAGGCGATCACCGTGACGGGCACCAACTACGGCGGCTGGTGCAACGCGACCCGCCCTTACTTCGACATGTCCCAGCCTGCCTGGGAGAACATTGGCATCTACAGCGCTGGCATCGTCCCCATCCTCTACCAACAGTAATAAGCATTAACCAACCTGACATCTTCTCTGCATTTCTATATATATGTCTGAACTCTGAAACGAATCAAGTGTGTAGTGCTGTTTGTATTGAAAAATTTGCAGGGTGAAGTGCTGGAGGTATGGGGGAGTGAGGTTCATCATCAACGGGTTCAACTACTTCGAGCTGGTGCTGGTGACCAACATGGCCGGGAGCGGGTCGATCGTGAGCATGTCGGTGAAGGGGTCATGCACGGGGTGGATCCAGATGACGAGGAATTGGGGCGCCAATTGGCAGTGTCTCGCTGGACTGGCCGGACAGGCGCTCAGCTTCAATGTCACCTCCACCGGCGGCCAGACCATCGTCTTCGACGACGCCGTGCCGGCGGGGTGGTCGTTCGGCCAAACCTTCAGCACCTACCACCAATTCGACTACTGATTGAGCTATATATGTTCAGACATCAGGAATATCAGATCCTCGTCTGAAATCTGAATGTCTATCTGATCGATCCAGCATTGGTAATCTGTTTCATTGTAAGATCGAGCATTATTTGGGAGTACCATTCATTTGATCGTTTTAATTGCTAGTCGGTGGATGTAAATCAAGTTGAATCCACTGCTATCTTTAATCGATGTGAAACTGTAGTAGTACCACTGAAGATCACATTCCATCAGACTTCGATTACATCATAAAACGTGTACCACATGCTGATGACAGCCGACGAGTCATATTCCTCGATGGAAGCAGAGTGGCAATTAAAGGCTACGACTAGAGAGGCTCACGAGAAAAATACATGTACAAGTACGCAATAATATCAACACCAAAGCCATCAAATAATTCGAGACTCGTACACAAGAAAACTGACAGGAAGACAGCGGTTGAGCTGATTCTGAACGAAGCCTTTCGTGTGGAGGTGATTACCAAACGAGACGAGCTACGCAGGACAGACAGCGTCAGCCGCTGTCTGGTGATGCATGACAGCAGAGACAGCTCTGGGGATCGCAACAAGAGCTTTTACTTGTGGACGGACGCTTGCAAAATCCATCGACGATCGTGGGACGTGGCTAGCTCGGCGATCAATCCAAAGGAGTACCAGGAGACTACTAGCTAGGAGTGTGGAACCTTATCCAACAACACAACAAGACAGGAGAAGATAAAGGCCCCGGATTCTCACGTAACAGCGTGTGTTTTGCGCTTGCGTTTTTTTTTTTTTTGACTTTTTTGCGCTTGCATTCGAATCACGTTCCTGTATCTTCATGTTTATGTCTTCTCATCAGTCATCCCTGCATGCGTTCGAGAGATCACCTTTTCCTTTTCTGGGTTCCAAAAGATCCGTTAAAATTTGGGGCTTATTTGGTTTAATACCCTATCAATATATGTTGGTAGTGCCAAACTCTAGGCAAGTTTTGGCACTACAATATTTTAGTAGGGTAGAATTGTAAATGAGTGCATTTGAATTTATACCAATTGAGAGCCAAATTTTAAATTGTGGTGAAGAATATTCTAAAATTATGCCAAATTGAGTATTGGCATTACCAAACATTTGGCTTCAAACCAAATCATCACATTTGCTATTTAAACCACCAAAAAATTGGTATGGCAATATTTTGGTATCAAACCAAAACGCCCCTTAATATAGGCAAAATACTGTAGAGATGCATTTGATAGTACAGTGATAAGGAGCGTATTCAATCTTCAACACGAAATATTGCACCAATAGTAACACGCTAGAAGCATATCTGAAAATTCTTGGTTGAAAAGGCAGAACAAAGAATATATGCTGATTCACTATTGTTTTCAAAAACAAGGAGCTGGGGCAGTGAGCGATGAGGTTGGGCGGCGAAGGGATGAGGTCGTCGGAATCCAGTAGGCCAGTAGTCGTAGGCCGGAGAGACAAAACAAAGATGGGCGGTTGCCCCTCCCTCCTCGACCACCGCTGGATTTTCTCATCCCAGACGTCGCAATTATTTCACTTTCCCATGACGTGGATCCTCCGCGGCATCCCCCGCCGTCGATCCGGCATCGGACGGGCCGCACCCCGCGGGGCCGCGTGGATCCCACACGAATACCTACCGGTGCCACGGCCAGGTCGGGCCCACGTGCCAGCTTCCCCTCCGCGGGACGCCAGCGCGAGCGGCTTTAGAGCGGCGCGGGGGGGTGGGCCCCACACCGGGATAGCAATCGTGGCCGTCCGTGTCGATCGGACGGTGGAGGGCGGTGTGAACAGGTGGTCGCTGCGGACTTGTCTCCTCTCTCTCTCTCTCTCTCTCTCTCTCTCCCTTTTGTGACCCCACCGGAGAAAGCCCTTCGCTGCGTCCATCCGTGGAAGGGAACGGAAAGGGGGAAGAAGAGCTGCAGCGAGCGACGAGGGCATCGCCGCCTCCGCCGCCGCCGCGCGCGACGGTTTATCCCGTCCCCGATCCGATCGTCGCCGGGGCTCCTCCTCCTCCACCCTCGCCGCGGGCAATATTTGGAACCCCCCAGGGAAGTATCTCTCACCGCCGATCGCCTCTCATGCCGTGCTGAGTGGAGCGCCTACCGAATCCCTACCCCCACCCGCCGCCGCCGCAGCAGCTCGTGCCGTATCCTGTTTACAGCGGTTTGTGGGTGATGGCTTCCAACGCCGACCAGCACGCGGCGGCGAACGGTGGTGGGGGGACGACGCCGGCTGCGACCGGTAGCCCCCCTGCCGGGAAGAAGGCGGCGGCCGCTGCAGCGTGGAAGAGGCCGGGGAACGGGGCGGCGGTGCCGGTCGTGGTGGCGCCTGGGAGCCCCATCATGGACGCCGACTCATGGCCGGCGCTGCCCGGGCTGGCGTCTCCGCCGCCGACGACGCTGACGCCGACGCCGATGCCGCCCAAGGCATCGCCCAAGGTGGCTCCTCTACCGCCACCCGCTGTAAGTGTTTGATCCAGTTGATTGTAGAATAATAGGGGGATTGAAATTTATTGCCGTTTGATGGGATTGATTGGGTTTTCCCGTTGGGGAATCATCTCAGGAGGCGGTGATCCCACCGATCTCCTTGGGGAATTCCGGCGCTCCGGATGCTAATCCTGATCACGAAGCACCGGTGCGGAATCCGCCGGCTAGGCGTGCCCTGGTGATGCCTGTGGGGGATGGGCTGGACAAGCGTGCCCCTGGCTCAGAGCCATCCCCAGTCTACACCCCTAATGCCAGGAGCAATGGAGGCGGTGATCACCACCAGAATGGTCGATATGGTTCCCATCCCCATAGCCGAGGTAGTGGCTATGGTGGTGGGGGGAACAGGAGGGGCAATGGTGGAGGTGGAGGTGGAGGTCGCCGTGGACAGGAGCACCATGGTGGTTTTGATGGGCAACGCCGTGGCGGTGGCCGCAGGGACGGCCATGGGCCTGGACACCAGCAGCGCGGCCACCATCCATCTTACATAAGGGCTCCTCTGGCTGTTGTGACTGCGGCGCCTCCTCCACCACCACCATTTGTTAACCCTGCTACTCCACAAACACCACCTTATGGAGCTCCCATAGGCTTCCCTGGTATGCCATGCATGTGGTTTATGAGATCATAGAGTTGTTCTATTGTTATGTCACCTTAATTTGCTTCGTTTCAAATAGCAGAGATAGCACCTCATGTCTACTATTTTACGTCTCCCCTGGAAGGTGTTCAAGCACTGCCTTTTGTGCCTCACCCAGCAAGCCCTCCAGCTATGTTAATTCCTCAATTTGATCCTCTTCGAGCGGAGCTGCTGAAGCAGATAGAGTACTACTTTAGGTACTTTTTTGTCTACATTTACGTGAAATATTTGTTCCATATCATTGCCGAGGTAAATTTACTGAGCCACTTGTTCAACTTTTGCAGTGATGACAATTTGTGCAAAGACATATTCTTGAGGCGGCATATGGATGACCAGGGTTGGGTGCCATTACCCCTGATTGCAGGATTTAATCAGGTGAGTTTGCAGGTTCTACATGATGTTTTTTTTAACTAAAAATATTGTCAATGAACCTTTACTTCGTTGCTATTGTTCAGCAGATTAATGACAAATTTACCAACTGCCTTGTAAGGTTCTGCTCACTGTCACCATCGAGTGAGGGACATAGAAAACTTTTTTTTTCTTATTAGTATTAGATATCTTCTTGCCTGGTTGCCTGATTGTGTGAGAAACTGCATGCACATTTAGATATTATTCAAAACTTCTGATAAGTGATAACTTATATCCTGTGTAATTCACTACATAAATGACAACAAACATGCAATTGTCTCTATTTTTTAAGCTGAATACATACAATTGCTCATGCATTGTTAATTGTGTCGACAAATATGATGGAAGAGACCTCAATCTATTACTGTTGTATAGGCATATTTCTTTATGGATTTTCCGAATCATATCCTTCACAGTTAGTTAGTTTGGTGAGTACCATTTACCATTGCATCATGGGAATGAGGTTTGTATTCCCCTCAGGTTGCTTTAACCATGCCAAGACTCTTTTTTGGGGTTATTTCTTCCTCTTTCAACTACATATTTCCTAACTTTGGTCTTGTATTATGTTCTTTATAATGTTTCTGTGCCTTCCGATGCACTATGTACAAAAGTCTTATAGGTTTGCATACTGTATTTATGCTTTTTTTTTTTGTCTTGGTCTGTTACTTCTTATTTTTTGTGTGTGCTGGGGAGGGGGGGGGGGTATTCTGCAACAATAAGACTGAAGCATCCAAAATACAATTCATTTTTCTATATGAACAAACTTTCTGCACCTTGGTAATTAAGCATTTAAGTTCCAAGAGAATGACTACGTCTGAGGACTGAATCATTTCCCATGAATTGTTACAAGTGTTAATGTTTTTCTAAAAGAACAACCAGGAGTTATAATTGCACTCAAATGTCAGATATGTTGGCTGGTCATAAGCAGGGCAAAGAGAGAAACTAGCCACTGGAATGCAAAAAGAACTGTAGAAAAGAGACAACAAAGGTAGAGGCTGACTAAACAGTGAAAAGGTTCTTAAAAGTGCTAATGTTGTTGTAAGACAATTACACAATAGGAATGTTTTGTGATGCAGATAGTTAGAATAATGGAAATAAAGTGAATTTGAAGATGCTCTGAGTTGTTTTTGCTTTGCACCGGCACATGGGACATTCCACAATATGGAATCATGGACACATATTTCACATGACTATACATGGATGATTAAAAAAAGAGAGAGAAAACTTATTCTATGCCATAACATCATGCATGTCCTGCCAAAAAATATATATCAATATTCATTGGCCAGGAATTAAAATAGATATTTTGCTTCTTTTACAACTCTGACTGATTCTGACTTATATTGTTTCGTGTAGGTAAAAAAGCTGACTAATAACGTGCAGTTTATCTTGGAAACAGTTCTGCAATCTACCGTGGTTGAAGTACAGGTGATCTTTAATTCTCATAATTTACCTTTGAAGTAATTTCATATTTTGAGTTTCAAACAGACTTATCTGCCATATACAAGTGCTGTAATTTATAAATATGCAAGTAATATTCATGTTCTGCTATGTGCGGACTGCGGAATGTACTGCTGGTTTAGAGCATGTACTATAAGGATTTAGGTGTTGCCTCCAAAAGTGCCACATAGGATTAGGTGATGAGGTGTAGAGAGAGGATGAGCCACCCTTCATGCAAGGGACAACCTCCGCACAATCTCCAAGAGAAAAAGAGAGAATGAGATAGTGTGGGAGTGAACCAACACAAAAAAAAATGATGTTTGTGTATTAGAGGTAATATGTTGTACATGTTGCCTCTTAATTAATGGATAGATGACATGGCTAAAATTAGAGGTAGTAGCCAACTCTACTATAAGATTTGTTCTTAGTGAGCAGTTTTTTTTAAGTATTTAAACTTGATTTAGTGAGCAGCTTACCATTACAAATCTTCTCTTCACTAGATATTTCAGAAAGGGTAAACATGACATTCAAATGGGCTGTAAATGGCGTGGCATGCTGTATAAAAGGAACATTCTAGGGAAATATTTTTGGTTTCTGATCTTCAAACTGACATTATTTAGTTTCAGTTTGTAAGGGATGCTGTACTTTACTGATGATCTTTAGAGCAGCATTATTTAGTTCCAATACTTTACATTCAAAAGCTTGTTCACCTTTTATTACAACCAATTGGGTAGCTCTTTATGCTATATCTGCATGACATATTAGTTTGCGTGTCTACCTAGGTAACTCGGCCTATATCTGCATAGCGTCTTAGCTTGTATGCGCACCTTTGGCGTAACGTTAGTAGTAGGAATATTGGAGTACTCAGACTGTTGTGCATGCCCAACTTAAGTCCAGTTGCATCCTTGTAGAATCTTAGTCCAATCTTGTGTGTACATTGGATCTGGATCCACATGTTGAAATGTGCGCACGACGAACATTGCCATGGCGCAAAGGAATGCACCATTGATTTTTAAATAGTATATTTTTTAGCACCCTAGATGATCTCACATGCCAGGAAGCAGGCCTTCTCTATTTTTTCTTCCTTCTTAACGCAGGACTTCAAAAATGAATTGAGAGCTGTTTCATTACTAAGTTTTACTTGCCAAGTTCCTTTGGTTAAAACTTAATGTATATCACTTACAGGTACACTCTTAACTGATTAGCCACTAGGAAAAACTGAATGTCTCTGAACGTAATGCTAGAACATATTACGAGGAGAATCTTATCTAGTGATAGCAAACAAGTTGTCAATAGGTGTATTCAATAATGATCTTAAGGTTTTCCTATAGATTGGAATTGTGATAGCTTGACAACACTGTTATTTATCATTCTACTTACCCGCATATTCACTTAAGTTAAAAATATCTAAATAGTAACCACCAACTCATCTAGAAATCACTCATCTATCCTCCTTGATTAGAAATCACTGTAATAAACTTCTACAGTAGTAGCCTTTTCTTTTGTCAATCTTCTGAAACAATATGACTTGAAGGAAAATTTCGTTTAGCCTGTGACACCCCAATTGACTCCCCAAGACGTTAGAAACATCATGTACTTTTGGTTTCCTATCATGGCTTCTTGCTTGAAATGAGAATGACATGAATATGTTTTTTTTTTAATTCTAATTCACATTTTCTCCATACATCTGAGTTCTCGCTGTGTTTCTTGCATACTTACTTTACAGGGTGACAAATTGCGGAAGCGTGAAAGATGGGAGATCTGGTTGCTTCCAAAACAAGGTTATTCTGCTGGAAATTCTTCTGGTTCGCTGTCCCCTGTGACATCCAACATTGATTCACTGGCATCTCAGTTTCAATCTGTTGGACTTGAGGGGGCAGGCTACCATGCAAGTCAAGGAATGCCCGGTGAAGCTCTCCTTACTAGGTCAGCAACTTCAGTTAGTCTAGGTTATCAGGCACCCCCCTTGGGAGGGTTATACAGCAACGGGAGTGGACCACTTTTTGGGCAGAAGTCTGCAAGAAGTTTACTCCGGAGCGATACCTTTTGAGGTTTTACACAAGAAAGATTACAACGGCATGCCGAGTTTTCTCTGGTTACGGCACGCGTACCTCATCTACTGGGGTGAGGAGTGAGGACTAAAATCCAGTTGATTTGGAAGAAAACAACCAAAAAAAGGAAATAAAACATACAAAAAAGAGAGATAGAAATACCCAAAAAAATATAAAAATATAAAAACCAAAAAAATCGAAAAACTTAAAAACAAGAGGAAAAAACATAGTAGGTAGTATTATGTGCAGGACTTATGTATTTTGTGGTTGTGCTCTTGCTGGGACGTGAGTACGTGACATTACCTGTTAAGTACTCGTTTGATTGTTGCTCTTTTGCAGACTGAGTTGTTATGGATGTTGTCAGTCGGAAGCTGTTAAAGACGAGACAAACTTATTTCAAAAAACTGATGACATTATTATCAGTTGTGCATCTTCTGCTGCCCAAATTGTGCATATGCATTGTATTTCTTTTGAAAATCGTATTCATGTTATGTATACTTTATGCTGATTTGGTCGAACGTGGACATCGATCTGCCGCTATGAAACATCTGCCTTCTTCGGCAAAATTGCTGTTATGTGCTTCTGGCACAGAGATCCTTCCTATTTACTTGGGGGAAAAAATCTTATTCATCTCTATAGTTGTGCTCAAGAGTATAACAAAGTTGTGGGCAGGCCATTGTATGGTCTGCAATTGGTATTATCTGTGAATGATACGTTTTATTAGTAATAATGTCCCTTACGAAACTTTGGTGATATCAAATTATGTCATTATCAAATTTTAGGAAAGTAAGACGGACATGTGTGGTGTTAGGTTTGAGACATTCTGGTAAGGTTTCAACAGTAGAAACTACTGAAAATGCCACAACTTGATAAGATTGTGTTGACTTGGTATTGATCTAGTGAACTAGTGGTAGTATGTGTTACCTTGCCAAATTTTAAATGTCAAAATTTAAAATTAACATGAAAGAGAACAAGCCCGAAGATAGATCACTTCTAACCATTCTATCAGTAGCAATTTATTTTTTAAAAAAAAGAAGGCTAAAGTTTTGCCTCGTATATATTGATAGAGCAGGAGGAAAAACCAAACAACCAAATAAGTTATTTACATGTCCCTGCCGTAAAAAAAACTGAGTCCGCAAAAAGGGAAACTACGTAGGTTCTTCCAACGGGGTTAACTCAGCGAGTTTTGCGGATCCCGTCTTGATCCAAGCTAACGCCTCCTCTTAGATTTTAGCGATGATGGTGGTTGGGGTGGTGGCCACGTGGCAGAATATCCTAGCGTCAATGGCTTCAATCTAACACTAAAGCTACATGGTACTCCTTCTGTCCCAAATTATAGGGCGCTTCTTTTTTTTTTTAAAGAAAAATCAAACTCGGTAGTTTTTACTAATAATCATACTAACTATATATATATATATATATATATATATATATATATATATATATATATATATATATATATATATACTAAGTATTATACATGTTATATCACTAGATTCATATTTTTGAAGTACTTTTTATATGATACTCCATCCGTTTCAGGTTACAAGATATAAGACGTTTTGACTTTGGTTAAAGTCAAACTGCTTTAAGTTTGATCAAATTTATAGAAAAAAATGGCAGAAGAACTTGAGAAGTTTCCAATAATTAAAGATCCAGATCACGGAATGGATACGAAATCTTGTTTTGGGTAAAAAATATTACTATTTTTTTCTATAAATTTGGTCAAACTTAAAGCAGTTTGACTTTGACCAAAGTCAAAACTCTTGTAACCTAAAACGGAGGGAATGGCAATTTAATATTAGTTGAAATATAAAATGAAATAAATTATAAGTTAAAGTATATCGTCGAAGACTATAAAGGCCTTATAATTGAAACGGATGAAGTAATAGCAGCATTATGAGCCAAAGAAACATTTGCTCATCTCGATCGTACTCAAACACGTTTCATACAAAAATTTTAGGCAAAACTTTGACAGCCACGAGGGACTCATCCTACAACTCCCAACTAATAATCAGTGTACAAAGCGTAGCGGCGAACAGACTGCACACAGACACACTTGAGACTACAAGCTCAAAACAAAGCAGCACACTTAAAAAAAAAAAACAATAAGACATGGCATGGCCGCATGGGTGCATGACTAGCTAACTATAATGGCTATACTACATGACGGCGCAGGAGTTGGGGTTCTCGTCGCTGAAGGCGGAGGCAAGCTTCTCCTCTTCCTCGGTGGCGCGGGCGAGCGGCGCGGCGTCCGGGTCGGCGAGCGCGTTGCGGACGTAGCCGGGGGGAGCCTTCTTGTCGTACGCGCCGGGGGCGTAGGGGTGGGGCACCACGTCGTACGGCACGTACGGCCACGGCTCCGCCTTCTTCCCGGCGCGACGCCGCAGCCGCCCCACCACCTCCTCCTGCTCCACGTAACCCGTCACCGTCACCTTGTTCTGCTTCGCGTCCACCTCCACGCTGCTCACGCCCTTCATCTCCTCCACTGCTTTCCGGACCTTCCTCTCGCACCCTTCGCAGTCCATCCGAACCTTCACCTCCACCTTCTGTGTACCATTTTTTTTTTCTAGTTAACACCCCGTTCCATTTCATAAAATCATAATGTAGGAATTTATGTGATTTTACAACTTACGCAGTTGCATTTATCGTTCAACCCAAAAAAAAAAAAAAAGCTGACGAGGAAAGATGAAAGATCGTAGTTCAAAAGGCGTTGTACCTGGAACTGCTTGGGCTTCTTCTTGAGAAGGATCTTGGCCGGCAGCACGCGCAGCTCGGCGATGATGTCGTCCACGCCCATTCTCTCCGATGGCGGTTGTTGGTATCAGTAGCTCAGCACTTGGACCAATGAAACTAGCCAGGATTTGGGCTCTCACAATGCCTTTCTTTCACAGGAGGGTTTACCGGTTTATAGGCTTTCCAAACGAAGGGTATCTGATGATCGATGATGCCACCTTTCCCAGGTACTTATACCGATAGAGATGGCTGTGAAAAGGATAAACTTGAGACGCTTCTTGTGCTTCTGACGAAAAAACAGTGTACTGAAAATACAAGCAGAATGGGCTGAGCGCACGCATCTCGCGAGTGTACCGTGGTAGAGAATAGTAACATGGATGGACGAGTCTGGATTGCTCTGCATGCTTCCCAAATCCCAACTCATTAGTTGGAAATGGAGCTCTGTCCGGTTGCTTCTATTTGGATGTTTCCACGCGTGATAGGCTTTCTTTTGTGAATCACCTTTTCGCGAACCTTCTACGCTCCTTTGCTGTTTTGGTCGGGCCGTGCTGTGCATCTTTTTTGTGAGATTTCATTCAGTTCCACCAAGCATTGTCTAGACAGAGAGAAGAAAAAGATCTCTGTTGTGAATCTTCCTGCATGAAGAAGCCTTATACGATTCAGGCTGTGATATATACACTACACTCGCCTTCAATGTACTATAGCACGTCTGAAATAGCTGAATGATTTTGCGAACAATATAGAGAAATTCACATATATAAAGTTTTTTGCGAAAATCGCACTGTTAATTCACCATTTTATTCACTGGAGAAGAACACTTCCTTACTCAGTTAATCAGGTACTTCAACAACAATAGAAGAGATTTTTTACCTTTGAGCTTTTTTACCTGCTTCTGGTTTGATCATGCTACCGATAGAAGAGATTGAAATGTTACAGTGATGGAAGCCAAATACAGCACAAAACCACTTCCTTTTTTTCTGGAGGAAAAAAATCGGTGTAAAGTCTGTGTCTACCAGTATACAATTTGCAGTCATACAAATAAAATCCTCTGTTACCAATCTAATTGCCAACAATATTAAGGAAACAATGTCGTATTGCGAATACATTAGTATAGGCTGAAACCGAAGAACTGCCCAACTAGAAGAGCTATTCCCATGCATATTGCTACAAGTGAAGCCGCCCAGGTCAGTTTCTCTGTTATCCTAGGGACCTTTTCTTTCAAGGCCTCACTACAAGAACCTACAAAAGCAGTGTAACTCCCCATCGAAAATACAGTCCCCATCAAAAACATGCCAAGAAATGCTGCACCAGCGAAGCGTGAGGGAAGGGCCAATGAAGGCAACACCATCAGTAGAGCATCTGGTTGGAGACCATGAACAACTCCAGTGGCAAATGTTGCAAAACCAACTTTCTTCTTCCTGGGAGCAGCAGGGGTTTGTAAAGGCTCACTGCTGGTTATGTTGCAGTCCACGCCTTCCAGGGCGAGCGACGATTCCTGAACCTCTGTAGCTTCTCGGATGCCCATACCTCCTATGATTAGAAGGGTCAGACCAACCACTCTTGTTCCCCATGTCCGGAGAATCTCAATGTGCAATCGATCCTTGAGTAATAAGAATAGCAGGCCAAAAATAACTTGTCCTGCATCATGACCACAACCCCAAAGGGCACCGACCAGTCCACTTTCCAGTCTTGATCTTCCAATCGACAGTGGTGCCAAAGCAACGAGATGGTCAGGCCCAGACAAGGTATGCAAGCATCCAGCAATGAAACCAGCCCAACCACTGCTTAGTATCTCTGATGTAAATAGTCCACCAGTTTTGGTTATTGATTGCACTGATGCATGGGCAGGATAAGGAATGCTAGATTGCAGGGTGCCGGTAACAAGCGCCACCAATAGGAAAAGAGCAGCTCTGGAAGCCTGTGATATAGCAAAATGTTGACTAAATCAGAATAATGATGGGGAAATACGATTTTAAAAAACCAAAGCATATATGCACAAAACCAAACCAGAAAACAAGCATAATGCCCTTGCTTCTGATGAAAAATAATGTAGTCACCTCCACAACACCTTAGCTATATTTGAAGAGCTTTAGTAAAATCTCAAAAACATTACACATGTAAATCAGTAAATGCAATCCCATCTAGCATCAGATACTCACAAATGCTACTAGACAAGGTCCATTTCGTATACGCATATCTCATAATCCATCCGAAGCCACATTCCATACCTAACTAGATCAACTACTACACTTTTAAACATGTGCTGCATAGCAAGTTATCTAAAGTACCATAAAAACATGTCAGTTAAGAAAACATTAAAATAGCAACGCATTCTTCCAATAAATCATGAAGAGAACATTGGGCTAGGGAATGATGAATGCAACTGATTATCATGGCATTTTCACAGTTGACGGTTGACACACAGTCGAACATTTTTATGACCTGAGTTAAATAACATAATAGCCATGATGTTGCGAGAGAAAATGATGCAAATATGTTATAAAACAGTGCAAAAATTAAAGACACTAATTCATGATATCATCTCTCACTTTGTTCACAGTTGCAAGAACTATCACATAGTGAGCCTGACACATTTATGATTAAAAATTGTGTCCGCAATGGAACCCCAATATGGTACAGTGCTCACTACAAAAATGATAAAAACAAGGTCTACTTTTCAATTTGGCTAAGGCTATGAGATACAGTTTCTTTGGGAACGGAAGAACTGTGAGGAGTGAGATCTAATCAGATGTTACCAATTTAGCATCAATATTAACTACCAAATGTATCACTCAAAAACTAAAGACCGCATGGACATTAAACGATCTTACAACACACCTTGTTAGTTGCCCAAAACCCTAACTACGATCACAGGTATCTTGGAGTTCTCACAACATTCTGGGTTAGTTTTGATAATGAAGCACTAAAATCATCTCTCCCCAAAACATACCAAATCATCACTTAGTTTCAAGTGAAATACTATACTTCAGATGTTTACCTACAACAAAATTCCGTTTTGTAACTTGCTATATACAGGCAGTGGCGAAGCTATATAGTGTTTGGGGGGTGCACATGAACCCCCGAAATTCCTAATTTCTCACTTAAAAAGACTAGAATATACAATGTTGTACTGAAATTTTCTAGATTCTCAATGGTAGTGCACCCCCCTTGTTTTGATGCTAGCTTCGCCCCTGTATACAGGTCTCACAATTCCACAAAGACCGCATATCGGTTCTTTTTCATACCCATCTAGTATACAGTATCTTAAATCATAAACATGATTGTACATAATGGAGCACAAATTAAGAGTGCTCACATGTTCCCCTCTGTTCTGCTAAAATAAAGATTTTCTTGTGCATTGGCTTTGTATTTTTCCATATGAAGTATATGGAAGCGCCAGAAAACACCAGCTTAATCATTTATAGAGGTAGAGCCAACACAAAAACAGCATTTCATTTGGAGATCTCTTTCATTTGCTACAAAGCATACTACTCTTCTCATCCCATACACAGCCGTGGCATTGTCAAAGCCCAGTCGAGGCATGTGTCATGCTATTCGATCTCAAACAGAAGGTTGTCATTTGTCAAGCTGAACGAACTTTCTCAAGGGGCATAATTACCACAATTAAGTACTACGACTAGCACTAGTTGAGAACCTACCATGGCAATTCTACCGCGCGCATCATTTTCGAGCCAAACATTGCAATTCCAGTAGATGAAAAAAAAGAAAACCCAAAATTGGGGCAGTCACCTTGGGGAGCAGACTCCACAGCAACTTCCACGGAGGTCCAACCGCCGCCGCCGGAGCGGCCTCCCGCGGCGGGGCCGACACACCATCGTGCGGCCGCGCCGCGATCGGCCCGAGACGCGGCTGCGCCCGTAGCCTCCCCGCCCACGGCTCGACGCCGCCGCCGCCGCCGAGACCCGCGACGGCGAGGCGGCGGGATGGGGATCCGCCCCCCGGCAGAGGGATCCGGGCGGCGACGGACTTGGAGATCAGCCGCTCCATGCGCGCCGCCGCGAGGAGGAGACGGAGAAGAAAGAAGGCAAACTAAACTAGAACTAGAAGAGTCCAAGGCAGCGAGAGATCGTGCCAACTTTGCCGCAATGGGTGGAGGTGTTGTGTACTTGTGTATTACTGTATTGTGTTGGTCTCGGGCTCGGGCTCTCGGCGAAACGGATGGCGACTTTGGAAGAGGAGAGGAGGGCGTCGCGTCGCATTGGCTGCGAGAGGGGGGTGGTTGGGTGGTTTGCCACGCGGGCGCGCGGCACGCGACGGCACGGGCGCGGCACGGGGCGCGGCTGCGTGCGGTGGTTGGGGTTGGAGGCGGGCTGTGGCTGACTCGGGGGAGAGGAGGGTGATGGATGGTGGTGGTGGTGGTGGTGCGGCGTGCACGTCCCCTCCTCCGCGGGTTGTGTTTGACGCGCGCTGTCACGATAAGCTATCATTGACGATATCTTTAGCCCAATCTTTTTTTTTCTTATACTACCTCTATATTATGACGCCCTCGACTTTTTATCCAACGTTTGATCATTCGTCTTATTCAAAAAATTTATATAATTATAATTTATTTTATTATGACTTGATTCGTCATCAAATGTTCTTTAAGCATGATATAAATATTTTCATATTTGCATAAATTTTTTGAATAAAACGAATGGTCAAACGTTAATCAAAAAGTCAACAATGTCATACATTAAAATACGGAGGGAGTACTTACGTTTATCAGCCAAAATTTAAATTTTCAACCTTAAATTCAAAATTAATTTTAAAGTTTTCCCATCAAAATTTATTTTGCAGTCTTTGTTTGTAGATAGTTAATAACACATATATAAAAAAATTATAAATTATTTTTCGTTTACAAATATACCGCGTTTAGCGTATTCCCTGGATAAACGAAACAATCGCTTTCTTGGATGGATCTGCGTCTGCTCCATGAGATGTGGGGTACGTTACGTGCCGGATAGAAATCACGTGTTTAATTGTGTTATTTGTTTATTTATTTGCTTGATGAGGCATTGTTTGACTCAATACAAAATAACCGAGAGTTGACAATAAGGGCATGTAAAAATAATTATCGTGTCATGAGTTTGTGACTGTTGATACTCCATTAGTCACGAGACTCGTTTTTGGTTTGTTTGAAGCATTATATGGCTGCTTCTCTGATCCGTTTTTTATTTAAGTAAATTTTATAGAACTATTTCTACTTTTATCAAACTATTATAAAACTATAGATTTAAAGAGGTAGTATTACAAACCACATATTAACACTATATTTTTCACGAAACTCTATATTCAAGGTATGATATCATAAAATTTAGTGATGAATTTGTCAAAAACCTACCGTACTCTCTACCATTGGTCATTTTTAGCCGTTAGATTAAATGCGGCCGGATGTGATCGATCGCTACGGTAATCAACAGTAAACCGATACCGTATGAGTGAACAGTACTCCGACACTGTTCGCACAGCGTTTTTACTGTGTTTATGGCAAGATATTGTAGCTCCTGGCACATTTTACTGTGCGTCTCAGGCTCTCAGCCATTCTCTCCGTAATATCAGACGATGCAAATCCTGAAATCCGACACTCGACAGTCGACACCCGCCGAGCAGGTGAACCAGTATCAGCCTTAGCGACACCTTCCACAATTATACCTTAGCCTGTCGCCAACAGATCATTCCAGAATTATTTCCAGTTGCGGCGAGCAGATCCCATTCCCATCCCAGAGATCATCGAGGACCTCTGATCTCTCAAACTCGTGCCACTCCCGCGTATGTGGGACTACCTCCAATCCCTCGAGCACCCGCTCCTTGTCTTCAACGACATGCCCATCGAGCAAGTGCACCCGTCTCATCCTCGGCGACGCCTTCATGACATGCCTGACAAAGCCGATTTGCCACCCTACTGCATTGAAGCCGACGACAACGAGCTCCTTCAGGCAATGGTACTGACGATCTTGAGCTTGCACGTCTAGCCAAGAAGCCATATTTTCCGACCTGTTGTCAATCTGCACTAAGGTTTGAGAATTCTCGTGTGAATTCACAGATATATTCCAAAAAAATTGAAGAGGATATTTAAGGAAAAGAGACTTGTAGAGTGCATACATGAACATGGCATGACTCCAAAACCGGCGCAGCATCAAGCAGGGTGACAATCCAGAATATATCCCAATTAATTGGTACGTTTGCAATGAATAGCTTCTTGAGATGAAGCAACGGGTCGGGTACAGCTATTGGCTCAATCCACACCTGCACACATGAAAATGCAACGCAATTTCACTTAGAGACAAGAGGCCACTACACTATTACTATTAGTTCATACACTAGTGACTAGTCTGTTAGTTCATTTCAGGAGTATGTATGATCGCTCACCTCAGGTCCTTTGAACTGCAGAACAAGGCTCTCAATTGGCGGGATCCTCTTCAAGAATTTGCTCAGTGGATATGTTCTGTTGCTAACACTTGGATCGACTTTGCTGTCGCCTTCGGTTTTTAGATAGTCCAAACCTACATGCCTAAGTCCAGGCACCTCGCCATAGTATATCTTGGAAGGCAGTAGGCCCCGGCAAGCAAAAGTTTCAAGACAGGGCAGTGAATGCAGATAGATTTTCCCAAATTTGCAGTTGTCCACCAGCAGATTCTTTAACCTTGATGTTGGGACATTGATACGGAGACCACCAGCACAGTAACCCGGACAATATCTGATACTAAAGTCCAATAGATGCACACAATGTGTCAAAATCCGATTAGCCAATCCAAAGTACGAAGTTTTACACAAGGAGAGTCTCGTGAGCCTCTGAAACGTCAAGGAATTAAATGAACCCAAGGGAGGGCAGTTGAACAGAACGAGCCGCTTCAGCTGCAAATTCTGACATCCATCAAGTATCTTGAAGTCATAGGCGATGCAACGGCCTTCAACGTTAAGCTCAAAATCCTCAACTCCCCACCTGGCAATCGCTGCAGTAACCCATCGCTGAATGAATTGGTTCCACTTCCTGCCAAAGGTTTGAAGCCTTAGCTTTTGGATAGTTCGGTGCACACCATCGGGGGGCAGAAGGAATGCATCCACCCGCTTGACATAGTGCCGCATGGCCCAGCGTTCATAGCGTTCCAGGGCAGCCGTGAGTGGACGGATCCTCCTCGTCCACTGATCCATCTTGTCCTTCATGGCATAAAAGTCGCTCAGGTTCACAGCATCCCTGTTTGTTGTCACATATGGTGACTTCTCTGCCTCATACGCTGCCTTGGCTTCCATCCACAGTCGCTTCAACCTGTGGTAGCGTGGAGGGAGGAGGTCATCAACGGCGAAGTCGTAACATGTGTGGGAGCGCCGAGGAAGATTAAGCCATCGCTTTGAAAGGATAGTGGTGGTTATTGTTGTGCGTGCATCTAGCTTGTCGAGAATCAGGATGAGTATCTCATCAGGTAAGCTGCTGAGCCTGTCCTCGTTAGTATTGCGCTCCTTACTCAGACGCACCTAGTAAATTTGATCAGAAAGGAGATGGAACAACAGTAAGCTAACTAAAGCCACTATAAGTAATTGTCAAGGCTGCTAGTGAAAAATTTTCAGACTAACAGACTACGTTGCGACATGAACAATGGAAAGGTTTAAGTGACCAAATTATTAAACCAAACTAAAACTTCTTGCAGTGAAAGGAACATATTGAGCTGCGTGGGTACCAATAAGGCAATAACAACGGGTATTGTTCCACTTTCTTGATGGCGCAATTCGGACTAAAAGGGGAAAAGCTCGTTTCTACTGTTAAACTAGTCAACGATTATTCAACACTAATCTGTAACACTACGCCACCGCGAAACTCGCCGCCGACAAGAGAGAGAGATATTTAGACGAGATCGGAGTTGGGGACGAAGAGAAACAGAGCTGAGGCAGAGGAGAGACAGAGTTTGGAGAGAGATAAATTCGATTTCTTTTTGCCAAGTTGGCCACAGCCATTCTCTCTCTCGAGTATTTATCTCCTGATTACATGGACCGTTGGCCCAAACGATTTAAGGCACGCAGGCCGCATTCTATTTGATAAAGTCTAGCCCAAAACACACACACTATCATTCACAGTTAAACCTCTTTCTCAGTGTCACCATTGCCGGTCATGACAGTGCCGCCCGCAGGAGTTTCAGCTTGTCCCCAAGCTGGAGCATCTGGAAAGCGAGTCTTCACAACATGATAGTCCTCCCAAGTAGCATGATCTGCTGGTAATAAAGACCATTTCAGCAACACCTGGACATGAGCTGCATTACCGCGCTTCACTAGTCAATGCTCCAAAATCGCCTCAGGAACAACGTCAGCAGCATCAAGAACCACTGGGGATGGCAAAGAAGTATAAACAGGAGTATGATCTGGCACCTGAGCTTTGAGTTGAGAAACATGAAACACCGGATGCACAGTGCTGCTGGCAGGTAGATCCAAACGATAAGCCGCCACTCCAATGCGCTCCAAAACAGTAAAAGAGCCAAAGAACTTATAAGCCAACTTAGGATATGGTCTATTAACTACTGAGGACTGAGCATAAGGCTGTAACTTCAAGAAAACAGCATCACCCATAGCAAAAACACGGTCAGAACGACCTTTATCAGCCTTGTTCTTCATACGCAGCTGGGCTCGAGTTAACTGCTGCTGTAAAAATTCAGACAAGTGCTGCCTTTCAGTCTGAACATCCACCACATCAGGCAGAGTAGCCAATGTCAGATCAGGAACTTGAGAATAATGAGGATCCACCCCAAAAAGAGCCTTATGAGGAGAACAGCCAAGAGATGTATGATAATTTGTATTGTACCAAAATTCTGCCAAATGAATTCAATGGCTCCACTTCTTAGGGTTAGCCTGAGTCATGCATCGTAAATACATTTCCAAACACTGATTGACACGCTCTGTTTGGCCATCTGTTTGCGGGTGATATGCTGTGCTCATCTGTAATTGAGTGTCCCAAGTAGCAAAAAGAGTTGTCCAGAACTTGCTAGTAAAGAGACGATCACGATCAGACACAATAGAACGAGGGATGCCCTGAGTTTTAAATACAGTTTTGTCCACCAGATGAGCCACTTGTGATGCAGTGAATGGATGACGCAAAGGAATGAAATCCGCATACTTAGTAAAACGATCCACCACCACCAAAATTGCATTATAACCATCAGAGCGCGGTAAACCTTCAATAAAATCCA